ATAAATATCTTAGGACTCAGCATTGTAATACAATTTAAAAATATTTAAATGTAATTTTTCAATCTTGAAGATTGTGTTTTGGACCAAATTTTCAGCTTAACCACTTCTCGGTCTGCGGCTCTAGTTGGAATCCGCCATTAGCCCACATTTAAATTCCAGCAGACATTATGTATGCTTTAGCATTAGCTCTTTTATAATATATTTGGAAACGTTCAAATTAAAAGTGTATGTATTATCTCTATAGATGTATATACTTTTAATGCTAAAAACATTTTATTCGGAGGATTGAGATAATATGAACAAGATATGACATGTATAAAACAGTCTTTACTTAGGATATTCATTTTTACGGGGTATTTATCGGTTGCTAGCATGTACAGTTTAAGCTTAGATCCAAGTTTGGTTACCTTCGCGCTGCGTTATATTCATTTTTATTGAATTGCATTGGCAAAGCCATCGAACAACAAAATCCACTCAACTAGACAGAAACTCAGAAAGTTAAAGTCGAAAGTTTTTGAGAATTTGATGGCTGCACCTGCAGTCAATGCGTATAACTGTGCGAGCCATTCAATTTAATTAGCTCTACTGTGCAGTATATTCCACCAGATTAGCCATCATTAAAGCCAAAACTCTAACTGGAACTTAGATAAAGCTTCGCCTTGAGCACAAATTGCATGCAAATTGACATAAAATTAATAAACACGCAAATTGCATCATTTTTCGAGGGGAAAGTTAGCTGCAGAGATGAGTCGCGACGTTCTGAAAGGGCTGGCCAGTACAGCTCTAATTAGCTGGAAACTCTACCCCACGAACCTTGAACTGGTACACGAATTTGTTAATTAAGTAAGGGAGTCGCGCAACATTACCGCGCTTTGACAGCGTTGACGGCCATTGTATAAGAGCAAAAAACCTATATAAAAAAAGTGCGATAAAATCTTAATGAAGCATTGGATTTTGTGCAGTGATTTGGCAAAGAAAAAAAAGAAAAGGGACGCAAACGTTCATTTATTGCAAATGTAGTGAGATGCGTTAAATGCAAATACCAATAATAACAACGGTTATTAGTTCGTATTGCATACGGTGGAATTGTAATAACATATAACGCATATAACTCAATAAATAATTAGGAATTAATCAGGAAAATATAAATAATTGTTTTGTTTGTACTAAAAACAATAAAATAAGTTGTTGGCACATGCCAACAACACGCGGTGTTCCCAAGCGGTCCCCTCATTTGATATAGATTTGTATATTTTAAATGTATAACCTATGTATGTTTGCTAGACAATATAGGCTAACCTCTCATAAGGTTTAGCTGTTATCAAAGCAGTTCATTTACGTTTCATTACTGTATTTGAATTTGTATTTGAACTGCTTGTTTTTACAAACGAAGGAAATCTGTTCTTTTGTTAATGCCAACCGTGCTCATGGTCTCACAGTTGGTTGGTTATTTTTCCAGACAATCGGTTGTCAACCCAACCGAATTCTATTAATTACCATTAGAACAGTTGAACACAACTTTAGCATTAAATATGCCAACTTCTGTACTGATATTTGGTAAAGAACTGTGCTAAAATGAGTACGAAACTGAATTGTGTAGGTGCTTCGTAGGTATTATCGATATCGTTTGTAATTGTGTTCAATGCGAATAGAGTGATAAAATGCTCAAGCACTTATAAGCAAAATTTTCGTGTTTGCTGGCTATAGCAGCCAGATTTCAAGTCGTGGATAGGTCGAGATGAGAACGACAACAATAAGGCGTACTAAAGTCCCTGCAAATACCAAAAAATTGTCTGTCCTATTTTTTGATCATTTTTTTTTTTTAGCTTTTTCAGTCATTTTTTCAGTATTTAAAAAATTACATCACTCTTCATAGTGAACTTTCAGTTGCTCGTGTTTCGCCAACGACCTTTCCACGCTGAATAGATCGGTTCTTGCTCAATCACCGAAACTAAGCAGCGTCCGGCGCCGTTAGTACTTAGATGAGGGACCGCTTGGGAACACGGCGTGTTGTTGGCATCTGTTGATGACAACTATTTTATTGATCAAATAACTTTTACCTAATTTCTTTTGTTGTTGTCTAGCTTAGCTTCGTTGACTTATAAATTAATTTTAATGTGCACACATATATATGTAGATATTCATGCAACACATGGTTGTTTTTCGCAGACAAAGCTGAGCTTGTCTCTGATTCCACTTCTATGCCATACGTATTGTTTTTGTTGGTTTTCATTACAAATATATTTTTAAATATTTCCAAGCTATTCCCTGCTTGAATATTCTGTAAATTTATTGAA